CGGCTCAGCAAGGGGCGGGGCCAACCCGCTGACCCCCCGGCCCCACGGCCCGGCCTCCGCCCTCGGGGCCCTTCCGGGATCTCCGCCCCCGGACTCCCTGGGGACGCGGAGGGCGCGTGGACCTGGAGGTCTCCGCCCCCGGCCCGCCGCCCCCAGCCCCCGGGGGCCGAGCCGACCAGCCCCTCCCCCTTCCGGGAGGGGCCGGGGCGGGGCTTTCCCCAGGGGCCAGGCCGAGGCATCCCGAGTTGGCGCGGGCCGGGGCCGGGCGCCCGGCGATTACGGCTGGGTGGGCGGGTGCCCAGGGTATTGGGGTCAGGGTGGCATTAGCGCAGCTCAAGCCGGGCTGGGCTGACTCAGCGCCTGGCCCCGACAGCCCGTCCCTGCCAACCCTGCGCTTCCCGGGGCGGAGATGGGAGATGGCGCCCGTGCTGCCCCTGGCGCTGCCGCTCCAGCCCCGCATCCGGCTGGCGCAGGGGCTCTGGCTCCTGTCCTGGGTGCTGGCGCTGGCCGGTGGCCTCACCCTCCTGTGCAGCGGGCACCTCCTGGTCCAGCTGTGGCACCTTCGCACCTTCTTGGCTCCCTCCTGCCCGTTCTCGGCCCTGCCGCAGGTGGCCCTGGGCGCGGGAGCTGTGGCTCTGTGCACCGGACTGGCGGGCGCGGGAGCCAGCAGGGCCAGTTTGGACGCAGCTCAATACCCGCCCTGGCGAAGGGTCCTGGGCCCCCTGCTGGTGGCTGGCACGGCTGGGGGTGGCGGGCTGCTGGTCCTCGCCCTGGCGCTAGCCTTAGCTCTCCCTGGAAGTCTGGACACGGGGCTGGAGGAGGGCCTGGGCGCTGCCATGGCTCACTACAGGGACACACAGGTGCCTGGGCACTGCCACAACAAGCGGCTGTTGGATGAGTAGCAACTGATGCACTTTGCTGCAGGAGTCATGAGTTCAAGGTATAGTAAAGATATCAAGGGATTCGAATAATTTATCACGAATACAATATACATGTAGAAGTAGAATTGAGTTGAGTGATGTGTCGATGTAGTTCTTGAAAAAGAAAAAAAAAAAAAAACATATATAAACAA